ACTGAGTAGACTGGGATTATACTCATTGGAATTCAGAAGAATGAGGGAAGATCTTATAGAAACATAAGATTATGAAGGGAATAGATAAGGTGGAGGCAGGGAGGTTGTTTCCGCTAGCAGGTGAAACTAGGACTAGAGGGCATTACCTCAAAATAAAGGGAAGCAGATGTAGGACTGAGATCAAAGGAACTTCTTCACCCAAAGGGTTGTGAATCTGTGGAATTCCCTGCCCAGTGAAGCGGTTGAAGCTACCTCGCTGAATGTTTTTAAGGCAAGGCTAGATAAATTTTTGAACAGTAAAGGAATTAAGGGTTATGGTGAGTGGGCGGGTAAGTGGAGCTGAGTCTCAAAAAAATCAGCCATGATCTTATTAAATGGCAGGGCAGGCTCGAGGGACCAGATGGCCTACTCCTGCTCCTAGTTCTTATGTTCTAAACCGTTTCTGTACCCTCTCCAAAGCATCCACATCCCTCTGGTAGTGTGGTGACCAGAACCATACACAATATTCCAAGTGTGGCCCACCTAAAGTTCTATAAAGCTGCAGCATAACTTGGCTATCCTTATACTCAATGTCCCTTCCAATGAAGGCAAGCATGCCATAGGCCTTGTTCACTATCTTATCCACCTGCGCTGCCACCTTCAGTGATCTGTGGACCTGCACACCCAGATCCCTCTGCATATCAATACTCCTAAGGGTTCTGCCATTCAGTGTATAATTTCCACCTATACTTGACCTTCTAAAATGCATCACCTCACTTTTGTCTCGATTTTAAACTCCATCTGCCATTTTTCTACCCATGCCTCCAACTGATCTATATCCTGCTGTATCTTCTGACTATCCTCACTGTCTGCATCCCACCAATCTTTGTACTGCCTGCAAATTGACTAATTAGACCAGCCACGTTTTCCTCCAAATCATTTATGTAGATCACAAACAGCAGAGGTCCCAGAACTGATTCCTGTGGAACATCACGAGTCACAGCCCTCCTTTCCGAAAAGCATCCTTCCCATCGCTATCCTCTGTCTCCTATAACTAAGCCAGTTCTGTATCCATCTTGCCAGCTCAGCCCTGATACCATGACTTCACCGTTTGTACCAGTCTGTTAGGAAGGACCCTGTCAAAGTCTTTACTGAAGTCCATGTAGACAACATTAACCAGTTTACCCTCATCAATCATCTTTGTCACCTCTTCAAAAAAACTCGATCAAGTTAGTGAGGCACGACCTCCCCTACACAAAACCAAGGTATCTATCGCTAATAAGTCCGTTTGCTTCTAAATGCATATAGAGTCATAGAGCTGTACAGCATGGAAACAGACCCTTCGGTCCAACTCGTCCATGCCGACCAGATATCCTAAATTAATCTAGTCCCATTTGTCAGCATTTGGTCCATATCCCTCTAAACCCTTCCTATTCATAGACCCATCCAGGTGCCTCTTAAATGTTGTAATTCTAACAGCCTCCATTACTACTTCTGGCAGCTCGTTCCATACAAGCACTGCCCTCTGCGTGGAAAAGCTGCCCCTTAGGTCCCTTTTAAATCTTTCCCCCTTAAACCTATGCCATCTAGTTTTGGACTACGCTACACTGGGGAAAAGACCTTGGCAATCCACCCTACCTATACCCCTCATGATTTTATAAATCTCTACAAGGTCACCCCTCCGTCTCCGATGCTCCAGGGAATCAGCACCAGCCTATTCAGCCTCTCCCTATTGCTCTAACCCTGGCAATATCCTTGTAAATCTGTTCTCCCTGAGAACCTTTTCCAATAATTTCCCTACCACCAATGTGAGACTTGCATTCTTAAACAATGGGACAACACTGGCTTTTGTGCAGTCCTCTGGGACCTCACTTGTGGCCCAAAGAGGATACAAAGATATCTATCAATGCTCCAGCAACTTGTTCTCTTCCCTCCCTCAATTTTCTGGGATAGATCCCATCAGGACCCGGCAACTTATCTACCATAATACTTTTTAAAACAGACAACACCTCTTCCTTTTTAATAGCAATTTGGCTTAGAAACTCGACTTTCCTTGAGAACATCCTCCACCAATTCCTTCTCTTTGGTGAATACCGACAGAGTATTTGTTTAGGACCTCCCCTACTTCTGCTGGCTCCGCACATAGATTCCCTCCTTTGTCCTTGAGTGGGCCAGCACTTTCCCTGGCTACCCTCTTCCTTTTAGTATATGAATAAAAAGTATTGGGATTCTCTCTAATCCTGTTTGTTAATGACTTTTCATGACCCCTTTTAGCCCTTCTAATTCCTTGTTTAAATTAATTCCTACTTTCCTTGTATACTTTGAGGGCTTCGTCAGTTCCTATTCTCCTGGACCTTGCGTATGCTGCCCTTTCTTTCTGACCAAGGTCATAACATCCCTAGTCACTCCAAGGTTCACGGAACCTGCCTTATCTATCCTTCCTTCTCGCGCACATGTGCCTCTCCTGAACTCTTATCAACTGTCGTTTGAAATAGCCCCACATATCTGATGTAGATTTACCCTCAAACAGTCGCCACCATTCAAAATTCCCCAGTTCCTGCCTAATATGGTTGTAGTTCACCTTACCCCAATTTAACACCTCAACCTGAGATCAGTATTACAGACCGTGGGGAATGAGAGAGCTTAAGAGTCCTGAAGAAGGGTTGTATCCGAAACGTTGACTGTTGCTTTCCTCCAGATGCTGCCTGGCGTGCTGTGCTCTTCCAGCCTCCTGTTCGTCTACCTGAGAGCTTGATTATTGAGCAGCTGGAATGCAGGCTGCTGTTTGGGAGAAGCTGGCTAGTCTTGAATCATTGATGTTTTTCTTTCTTTGGTGTACGTGGTCACTTTTGCAGCTCATTGGTCCACACTGTGACTCCGTGTCGCCCAGTGCTGTCTCTGCAAGGACCTTGTATATGGACAGAAAGGGTGTCAAGAGGATCGACACTGTCAGAAAGCTGCAGTCACCCAGCCAGCTGTTTCAGCGGAAGGATTAGTCACTTGTTGTGTGAGGTTGAATTGTCTCTCTGTTTGGTTCCAGATTCTTGTGAGGGACGATGCTATGCCATTAGCGCACGTTGCAATTGCTGTGGAGGGAGTTGGATCATCTAACCCTGATGTGGTTCCTCTCTTGATTGCCAGTACACTGATTGGAAACTGGGATCGCAGTTACGGGGGAGGAGCGGTGAGTAGCTGTGGATCAGTGGGAGGGCCTTGGATGGTCCTCATTGTGCAGATGGTGGACCACAGCCATGTCTGTCATGTTGAATTAAAGTAAAATCTCAATTTCAGCAAATTTTGTTTTGGTTTTGGAATCCCGTCAAGGTCACCAGTCTTCCCTTCTAACCTCCTGCATTCCATTCCAACAACACTCTGAGATTTCTATATCTGTCTAATTCTGGCCTTTTCCCCAACTTCCGTTTCTGCTCTATAGGCAGACCTGCTATTAATTGCTGGGGCCCCGGAGATCTTCAGATCACACCCAAAACCTGTCCCCTCTCTCATACTCCAATGCTCACCTCCTTCTGTCAAACACTCAGCAAAGCACCTCTGGTTGCTTTTGGACATTGAAGACACTGTGTCAGTCCTGTTGATGGAGTGTGGCCTAGCAGGGAGGTGATAGGTTCCTGGAGGAGACCCAGTTACATTGTGAAGCAGTCAAACACCTGTACAGCAGGAGGTGGAGATTGACTGACCAGCCTTTTCCTGAATGAAATCTGAATTCGGTCTAACCTTGGGTAGGTTTGATGGGGACCGTGTAGAGGGAGATCTACCTCTGTATCCAAACCTGTGCTATATCTGTCTTGATAATATTTAACGGGAGCAGTGTCATGTGAGCCCTAATTTTAATTTAAAGGATCAGAGGAAGATTTGCATTCAGTTTAAAAGAGTAGAGGGAGCTTTACTTTGTATCTAACCCTGTGCTGTACGTGGATAGTGATGATTGTACTGTTTATTTCTCCTTGTTCATCCCTGCAGAATCATTCAAGTCGCCTGGCCCAGATCTCAGTTGAGAATAATCTGGGTTACAGTTTCCAGTCCTTCAATACATGTTACTCTGACACAGGTCTTTGGGGGATATACCTGGTCTGTGATGGAATGAGCATTGAAGATATGCTGCACTTTGCCCAGGGAGAATGGTGAGTGTGCTGCTACAGGCGCTGCAATGGCTGCTCCTCTGTTTAACATCATTTACTGGAATCTGCTGGTGAAAACATTGAAGAGATCCAGTTTTTCAATTTAACGTAAATATTGAGCTCTTATTGAGAGATGTTCAAACAAAGATTCAGTCATATTTGGTGCTGTAACTGCATGGTAGATTTAATGCAAAGGCTCACTGACTGATTCAGACCAGACACAGATTCCTCCCCCTCCACCCCGGGCCTTCCAGGGTGGGCACAGACGGAAGAATGATCAAGGAGGGAATATTACTGTTTGGTTTTTGTTTGTGTTCAGGATGCGCCTCTGTACCAGTGTGACGGAGAGTGAGGTGACCAGAGCCAAGAACGTGCTGAAGACCCATTTGATTGCACAGTTGGATGGTGAGATGAAAAGCAGGTTGTGAAAATATGAACATTTCAGCCCCTGATCCCACTCGTCATTCATTCAAATCACGAATGAACTGTTTCTGAACTCCATTTTCCCTGTGTTGTTCCATGTCCCTTGTTAGCCTTTCTCAACAAAATAAGTCTGCTTCAATCCAGGGCCTAAAGCCAATTGACTTTCACACCACAGTTTTTGAAGGGATCGGGTCCCATATTTCCTCTCCGTGTTGCGAGGAAGTGTATCCTAACATCACTCCGGATCTAACTCCCTCGGATTCTAAAGTCCTGGGTCTTGATGTGTTCTGAACTTCCCTGACCCCGCCCACCAGAGCAAATAGTTTCTGTCTCTTCACCTCCTTATCAAACCCTTTCAATGTTTAAAACACATTGATTAGTTCACCCGATAAACTTCAAAACACAATGAAGTGCAATCATAGTCAGAGCAGCCCTGTCTTCCTCACCAGCCTTGAACCAACCCTGTGCCATTCCAGTCTCTCTGCATTTCCCTCCTTCCTGAGCTCCATATGCGCTAGTATTGTATGGCCTGGGACTGTTAGAGAGTTAATACAGATTGTACTTCTGCCCCGATAGTTTGAATACTATTGGTGTGGGGAGAACTGACTGGAGGGGACAGACAGCCTGGAGCGTGGTTGTGAAGGGGGACATTTCCTCAGGAATGCTGTTCCTGATTTGATGTTGAGTGTCACTGAAGAGGATTGAGCAAACCCGTTTCCTGATTGTCATCCTTCAGGCCAGACCTGCTCAACAGCCAATCAGACAATGACTCCTGCCCACAGGCAGAAGCCCAGTATCTAGCAGAGGCACCAAGCCACAGGCTGAGACCCCAGGTAGAACAGTGAGGTGTGCGCCATGCCTGTGGTGTTGGAGCTCACATATCCATGTTTGTTCGCAGGTACAACACCAACATGTGCAGACATTGGAAGGCAGATTCTTAGTTATGGCCGACGTATCTCACTGGCAGAGTGGAATGCCAGGATAGATGTATGTATCGATTGACGATATTCATTTCTGCGTAACAAGCTGCTCTGTGGATAGGTCAGAAATCAAACACTTGCTCTAACGGAGCCCCCTCGAAGCTTATTGCCTGAAGTGCTCATAATGTCCAGTAACTAAATATAGGAGTCTGTCCCTCGCTAAGAGTCAGTGTGCGGGACCCCGTACCCCAGTGAGAGTCAGTGTGTGTGTGGGACCCCGTACCCCAGTGAGAGTCGGTGTGTGGGGGTGGGCGACCCCGTACCCCAGTGAGAGTCGGTGTGTGGGG